TTTTCACTACATATGCATTTCCCGGCATTTCTCCTGCGATATTATCTTTTAAGGCGCCAAAAAATTATTTTATTCCCTTTTCAAAATGCTTCCTTTTGCCTTTTGCTTGTTATGGACAGGGTCATTGTGTGGTTCTGACATGACCACTTTCTGAATGCTCATCATCACTTCTATCTGCCCTCATAGATGTTAAATTTATGTATATATGTATAGAAATTAATTATACTATGGATTGCTTCCTCACCACCTCAGACTTTGTAATTTGAATATCTAATGGTTTTTTTTAAGTATTTGACATGCTAAATACGGGTTCCGTTTGATTTGGTCACGTCTATTTGCCTCCTAATAAACATTTCAAAAAACGATCATGACACAAGGATTTCAGCTGCTGCATTAGTGGGGCTAAAATACGTGTAAAGGAATCCCGCATACCCTCACCCACAAAGCACCGGCCGAATGTTAACCTAATTTACAATAAATTAACCCTGGCTTACACACCGTACGGGTTTATACACTAGAAATACTAAAGTACCCGTGTACAGACATTATTTGGTGTTCTGATTGGAATGCAACATTCATTTAAGCCCCTGGCGCCATTTGGCACCAATTCTATGCTTATGTGCTCCCCCTCTCTGGTTAGATCGCAATCAGACTAAGCAGAAGGCGAAAGGAGGGCTACGAGGTGAGTAAGCCACTCCGTAACCTCATACAGTTCATCTTTCCACACGGCGCCCGATTCACCCACCCAGGTACCCCTCCCGTTAGCCCTTCAACTTGGCCTTAGGCACTATCAGTGAGAAGCCTCAAGATGGCAGAAATAAGAGTCTAACAGCGTTAAAAAAGGAATGTCATATTCGTGATCAACTAACTAACCTCTACACAGAACTTTACAGCGGATGTGGTGACAGCTGTCGTGACAAAGTGACTGCAACTGGTACCCAGATGAAAACAGCGTCAAAACTAAATGCCATTTTAGGAATCAGGTCATAGAACTGTCAAAATTTTGGGGCAGCCTTCCACTCCCATACCTTGCAGTGCTAAGATCCAGAATAGCCGTACAAGATTTCTTAAAATTATGAAACAACAGGGGCCGAGTGCAGCAAGGCCCGGCCGGGAATGGGTCCCGCAAACTGCATCCCTAGACACATCCCCCGCTCTTGACTATGAGCGTCCAAGGGCAGCGGTCAACCGAAAGTCTTGGTGATTCAGCGTTTTGTAGTGTTCTCTAGGGCACTCTCGCATATGCACACTATTACAGCGTCTCTGATTTCTTTCCTTCCTTCAAAAGGCTTAGTCCTAGAAGAGCAGAAAGTATGTGCTTTTCTGTCTGGACTCTCACGCTTGGTTGACCACTGCCCCGTAACGACTATGAGGACTGCTGCATCAAACGGATTAGACACACAGCTTTGTGGACTCTTCCTTGGCCGGGTCTTGCTGCACCCAACCCCAGCACTAACACCTTGACACATCGCGCGTATCGGTTTTTTTGGTCACGTAGGAGGAGCGCGATTTTGCGAGCATGGCGGCGGCGGGACCATGGGTCCTGCGCTGCTCCACAAGGCGCATTTTCTAGTGCTCGCAATCGAAGTAGGGCTGTTATATGGTGGTTTGATTTATGCAAGCGCATACAGATTGAATTATTTAGCATAAACTCAACCACGAATGCGCTCAACAAACGCTTGCGAGGATTAGTTACAGTATCAGGATTTTTTCTGTGATGAGTTAAGAAAAGCTTGGAATATTGAAAGGACAGAAGATGTGAATGAAGATAAAGCAGTGAGCGATCTAGTGCATAATGAGAAATCGCAAGGATGAAAAGAGCGAAGAAAAAATGAGGTTCAACGATGCCCCAAACAATGTACGGTGATAAAATTGATCAAAGACAATTTTCAAAACGAGGGAAGATTTAACTTTCCACATGTACTAATTAGAAAGTATTGTATTTAGGGTGCATAGGGGGATTTGACTTTGTCGCGAAGAATAAGCGCAGAAAATTTCCCACTTAGCGCCGGTCGAGCGCCACCCCTTCCCCAGCAAATCCAGTAAAAACCTACGTGGGGGATATTACTTGGCGCCCTGTTGTGGCGCTCAAATCCTTAAAGTTTTGGTGGTTTAGTCGACACCGTTCGTATTGCAGTTGCGGGAGTATCGTTGGAGGCGCTCAGGGCTCAAGTCATTATCCTTTGCCTTTATCTTTGAAATTAACTCTTCAAGCTGCGCTGATTTCTCGCAGATCCAAAATTCCGTAAGTGTAGCCGCTTACCAGTGTGCAGCAGAAGTTACTGAGACGAAATATATATTTTGTATGGGAACCACAAAAAGATTTTTACTTTGATCTTCGCACTTAGTGCTTGATTCACCACCCATTCTGTAACGCTTTTATCTACCGTCGATACTATTCGAGCGTTCGTAAAAGGCGCGTGCCGCCGAATCGCAGGAGCGCGGCCAAAGGAGAGACTGTGGTAAATGCGAGTAAGGTTAGACTCGGCCAAAAGAGGGGTCGGGCCAGCCATCGAGCGTAGATCAAATGAGCTGCCACAAGCGCAGAACCAGTATTGAAAGCCAAGATCAAAGAAAAATTCAGATTAAAGACTACCGTACGAAGTGCATATCATTTTACAGAGTTCTCGATACTGATTACAAAAATAAAGGAGAGCAGCATCCCAATTTGTGGACCCAAGTGTGGTGAGGAAGAGGAGTATTTGTCAATGTTCCTAGTTTTTTCCTTGTTTTTTTGAATTTTACTAATGGCCATCTCGCGAATAATATAGAAGTCTATCATGCACACAAGTGCAAACCCATGAACCACATTTGTTCTTTAGAGCCATAGTTTTAATTTGTACAGTATTGTATCCCACAATAAATTTGGTGCTAATGTATTATGACAGCTCCACACGCTCGCAAGAGCACAACCTCAAAAGGTGTTGAAGAAGTTTCTACTTCAAAAACTTCATCCATAGAGGTGATTTCATGCTCTGGTCACGGATATGACACTCATTTTTGACGCTGGCGCCAAATGGCGCCATTCCACCGAGGATTACGTTCTCAAATGTTAGGCGATCATATGGCGCGATCCATTGGCATTAGAGCGCACAGCCCCATCCTGTTGTGGCCGGACAACTCGTCCGCGTCACTTAACTTCTATAATTCAACAGTTGATCGATCTGGTAAGTTGGGTCTCAGAAATCACGATGAGTCCAATGATCTAAAAAGCGGATAGCTTCGTTGGCCTGATGCCAAGGCAAGAGGAACGGAACAGAATGTGTTGCGCGGACGAGTTGTCCGGCCACAGCAGGATGTGGTAATTACGGCCTGTGCGCTCCAATGCCAATGGGATCGCGCCATATGACGCACACCCTCTCAAATGTGTCGTACTGCTATCAGATGGCGCCAGCGTTAAAAACGGATGACATATCCGTTGAACAGAATTACAAAGGCTATTTCAAATTATAGCCAACTATATGACAGACCGGCAGAGAGAGGCTGACAGAAGAGATTTGGCCCAGGGATAGTACTTGGTGCTTGTGTTGGTGAGACATACATACATCACACTTCTGAATCACGAAGATTTTATGTGGGCGGAATCAATTGTTATTGGAAATACTCTGGCCTGGCATCGACTCGATCCTTGATGTTTGTCCTCCGACGGTGATGATCCTACTGCATCAATCCGGCCCGATCTCTTCCTCCCAGCGGGCCAATACGACCCCCCCCCCCTTAAGGAGATGCCAAAGGTGTCGGTGTTTTGTGTAATGATGTTGTGTCAAAATTTCGCTTCCATGAACTGCATAATGGACTCCAAAGATTAGCATAGAGCCTTGCGAGGACATCTGACCTCTTCCTTGAGCTGATGAAGTCGGCTAGCCTACGTAGTCATACAGAACAGTACAGGTACCCATGTAGGTCATTCAACCAGAAGCAGCATTTCTCTCGAAACCCTGATGAACTGAACAAATTATTCTGAATTTCTAGTCGTGTTCTAGTAGAACATCTCAGGGGCATCTTCGTCATGAGTAATAGTGCGGATAAACGCCAGTTAAAAATTACACAAGAGCGTGTACAAGCAACCCTTGAACACGGAAGTGAATCGATGGTGATCTGCCTTGGAATCTCAATTCCGGTAGGCTATTCGATGTTGCCCTTGATAAAGGAGGAACCATACATTATTATGTCTATTTTATCTGTCATTAATCTTAGGTAATTGTTCTTTTCCTCAGGGTGACCTTATATTATGAAACGGTGCAAAAATCGAAAAATAATTATAAAAAAGTTCGAAGAAAAGCTGCTCCCGCCAAAATTGCGATACAGGGGTTATTCATAGTGGGGAATCATTTGGTGATAGTGGAAAAATCACCAGTTGGCTGCTGGTTCCGGAAATGCAATATTTTAGGGTGACCTTATAATTATGAAACGCACTGTATAGCTGCATGTCACTATTTTTATTGATAAGCATGCATTAACTAAATGTAAGAAATAAATTGCCTGTAGAATTAAAAGAAGACTTCAAAATCGAGTTACATCAGCTCAACGTAAAAACAAGCGATAGCACTACACAGGCATATGAAGGTTAAATTAGGCGAGCTGAGGAGGATAGGGCAGGCCACAAAAAAATTTTTGAGTACTCTTCTTAAATTTGCCTTAAAGCCACAAGCCAAGATGATACAGAACTTTTCGGCTAACCGAGAGTCTAGCGGTGGTCTCAACAAAATCCTGCCGTACATCTACGGCTCTGACGAAGGCGACCAAGCCGAAACGTTAGCCGAATAAAGATCTGTATCATCTTGGCTTGTGGCTTCAAAGCAAATCTGGGAAGAATACCACACACGATGCCAAGATTCATCGAACGTCGAACCCGTGTGCTATTGACTTTTTAAGTGTTCATTAAGATTTTCTCGTAGATGTGACATACCGCAGAAACTAAAATTAGAAGCTTTCGAACGCGAAGGATGAAAATGCCTCCAGAAACTGTGACATGTAATATATTACAACGTACAACAATCCTAGTCTTCATCAAATCCCTCGTCCAAAAGAGAATCGGTCGGAATTAGATCACCCATCGCAACCAGATCTTCCATTGTTCTCATCATCCATTCCCGCGCCTCCTACAAAATGGAATAATTACATAAAAGTTGAAATACATTAGCGGTCATAACAGTAAAAAAGCTACTTGAGCTCAGAAGCAATGGATCACAACGATGAGAAAAATATCAGGCCAACAGATCAAATTGTTCTTCGAATAAGACTGAATATATGAATGAGCGGAAATAAACTTAAAAAAAGAGACCTTCATCATGTCTAGATCACTGACAATAACATGGAATCTTGACAGAACAGCATCGCTAATCTTCAACTGCTTCTCAGCCAATATCTTCGAGTATTCAACGTTTTCTGCTCGAAGAGTTTCCAAATCCTGGACGAACACGCCTTTTTATTTGGAGTGAAATAATTTACACCAATTCTGATTTTGAATTATTCAGACTGCAAACAGAAAATTAGAGGAGCTCACCCGCTTCAGGCTGCTAATTTCATGGCGTTTGTTTTCCAACATCTCCTTCTCATTTTCCAGCCGATCTGAAATTCATTTCTGCTTGCTTTCACATGTAAAATTATAGAAATAAGAAACATGTTTTCGAGGCGTGAAAAGCGAAAAATGTGCTTGTTTTAAGTATCTTACAAGGGAGGTCATCAGGGCAAGGTGCGCTTTTTGGAAACGGTTTAGTACATGTTGTAGGGACGCATGTATGGACCACAAAACCATGTTTCGTTTTCGCTGAACGGTTTTAGTAGTACCAAAAAAGTGGTGAATAATACTCTTGATGGTTCAATCCCCCGCGGCGACTAAATTTTGCAATCAAGGTTGGCGGCCACTTGTTGGCTTCAAAATGGTCCTGACGATGAATTTGACATCTGATTTTGATATTTAGCGCGATTTGGCACCAAACCGTAGGCGCCAACCCAAATGCAAAATTTAGTCGCCACGGGGGATCGAACCCTTAACAGTACCTTATGCTTCTTTTTTGGTA